GCTTTCATCCTACCTGGAAAAGGTAAATCTCTCAGATCTAAATCTGTTGGACTGGTCTTTTTCTGTTGGGGTATGGGCAGTTTCTACCCACTGTGAGCAATGTCAGGTGGAGTCTGGGTGGTGCTGGAACTGGGCATACCTGCTGTTTCTGGAAAAGAAACTGGATTTTGTGTTTCTTCAACTGAGGGAAATAGAACTGGAAATTTTGATATGTCAAAAGAATGTGAGGTATTTTCTTGACAAATCGGCTCACTAGGTGTTTCCGTTGTGGCACTAGAGTCTCCCAAGTTCTTATCACTTCTTAAAGTCACGGCTTTGACATGTTCTTTTGGTGTTTCCGTGTCACTAGGCAAAGTTCCTTGAGGTCTATTTTTGAGATCTACGGCAAATTGGCCGAGTTGGGTCTCGAAGTTCCTCAAGGTGGCATTGGTTTGGTTTATATAACCTTTAAGTAAAGATTCGAGTGAACCATTACCCTCCGATGCATTTTGTTGTCTAGGTGCATGTGATTGTGAAGATTGCTCGCTTTGGTGCATTTGATGATTACCTTGCATGTGATGACCACCTTAATGAAATCCCGGGGGATTCGAGGTTCGGTTTTGGACTTAGGTTGCCCCGGGAGGTTGAAGTCCAGGATTTTCGGCTCATGAAAAATTCGGATGATTTCTCCAATTTGGATTGTATGTAGGAGAAAATGGGCTATTTCTTGTATGGTTCCCAACATAATTTACCGAAATGGGATTTCCGGGGCAAAACTCATAAGAATGACTTTCACCATAGAAAACACAAGATTCGGTCATGAAAGAATTGGACATTATGGATTGCACTTGACTCTTTTCTCCATTATAATTTAAATTGTTTTTAACCAATATATTTAAAGCAACAATTTGGGCATTCAAAGAAGAAATGTCATCAAGCTCATGAATTCCTAAGGCAGATTTAGAAACAACAGCACGAGGGTTAGACCATTCAGTATTATTATTAGAAATTCGTTCCAATATGTCATACCCCTCATTGTAGGTCTTAGCTGTGAAAGCGCCACCGACCGTTGCGTCAAGAATAATTTTAGCGGCACTGGAAAGTCCATTATAAAAGGTTTCCAATTGAATACAATGAGGGATTCCATGATGAGGACACTTCCGAAGAAGATCCTTGAATCTCTCTCATGAATCCGATACCTCTTCATCTTCTTCTTGGCGAAACGTCATAATTTCATTTCTAATTTTTACATTCCTCGTTGGCAGAAAGTRTGTTTTTAGAAAATTTTCCGCCAAATCATTCCAATTAAGGATCGAGTTTGGTGGTTGAAAAGTGTCAAGCGTAAGGCCTCTTGTGTAACTCCAGGAATTTTAAAATGATCCATCATTTCTATAAAAAGATTTTAAATGAGAGTGCGGATCTTCCAAAGATATTTCCCCAAACTGACCTATTGCAAAAATCATTTGAARCATTACCGGCTTGGGTTCAAAAGATGTTGCTGTTATTTTCGGCCTACCAATTCCAGAGGCCAATTGACCAAATTCGGGAGTTGCGTAGTCCCGTATGCCTCTA